ATATTTATGGTTACTGAAGTCCCCGTATGGCAACTCAATTTTATGCTCCAAGTTTACTAATAATGGCATTTTGAGTTTTGAGTGGTTTTTATTTTGTCAGTTTACTGAAGCGTTTGTAATGCCATGGGAGAGAGGGAAATATAAAAGGGGAATAATACCTGTGGATAGCTGACATTAGGTTTTGTGCTAAAATCAGTCATTTTTGCTTATACGGCGGCTGTCGGGACAATCCCGAACTTGCATGGATGTTAACTACATGCATGTTACACAGGCAATACATCAAGACACCGAGGCGATGCCGCATGCATAAATACGGGGAGTAATTTGGCACATGCATAGCTCTCATTCCCTTTCCAGACATGTTCCCTCCCTGCCCTTCTCAGCCAGCAAGGTATATCGTTTATTAGGGTATCCCCTTTTCCCATATTGTTTAAGTTGGAGCTTTGATTTTCGAGCACCATTCGACGCGTTTGGGCCACTGAGCTGAAATATCACATGTTTGGTTATGAAAAATGGAAAAGCTGGAGACTGCTAACAGGTTTTAAACGTGCTTGACAATTGCACTTTTGCATGTCACCATCCGTTAACTAAGGCATCGTTAAGCTCAATGATCAGCATAATTTCATCCGATTGCTTATTCTATTCATGTGCTGACAACGGTATACGTTATTAGACCCCCTGTGCCAGGCAGTTCTTAATGCTCGTCATTGCCATATAATTGCCGATGTTAATCGTAGTTCGGAAATGCCATGAGAGGAAATAGGCCGAAGAAAATTACGGCAGTGGTTTCTGTGATAACGTAATTCCTAAGCGAGGGCACAAGGCGACATTTCTCGGGTTTTATGTTGGAATATCAATATTCGGTAACCATTTGTCGCGCCTACACCCGCTGAACTGAAACTTGATATCCTTTTTGCCAAAATGTACGGCTTTGAGACCGGTAAAAATCCCTGAAATTATCGTAAAATGGCATGCCTGCACATCACCATTTGGACACATAAAAAATCGCGCAACTTATCTTATTGTCGTGGCTGACAATGCGGCCGCAGCTGTGTTTTCAAGTGCCCTACACCAGGTGGAGAGATAAAGATCATGCCAGTGGTTCTCTGTAATCATTGCACTATTTGCCAACTACACAGACATATGTAGTGGACGATCGAGCATTTAAGACTCGTCTACACAAGCTTAAAAAATCCCATTCTGGTTAGCCAAATGCATGTCCTGTGCAGTGACTGCTTCTTATTCCGGATCAGGTTCGCCCTTTGTTTGAAAAATTCCCAAATGTATGGGTACCAAGAAACGAAAATACAATGCCTCCTGCCTGCAGTCTCGATGTCTCGTCACACATCGCTAGTAACGAAACAACCTCACGTTGTTCGTCACGGCCCCCTGGCGCACCTCCCCTCAAGGGCCCCCAGACGAACCTCCACTCACAGCCTACCCTGACGAACCTCCACTCACAGATCCCCTGACGAGCCTTCGCTCACAGCTCCCCTGACGAACCTTCGCTCACAGCTCCCCTGACGAACCTCCACTCACAGCTCCCCTGACAAACCACTCACAGCCTCCCCTGACGAACCTCCACTCACAGCCTCCCCTGACGAACCTCCACTCACAGCCTCCCCTGACGAACCTCCACTCACAGCCTCCCTGACGAACCTCCACTCACAGCCTCCCCTGGCGAACCTCCACTCACAGCTCCCCTGACGAACCTCCACTCACAGGCCTACCCTGACGAACCTCCGCTCACAGCTCCCTGACGAGCCTTCGCTCACAGCTCCCCTGACGAACCTCCACTCACAGCCTACCCTGACAAACCTCCACTCACAGCCTCCCCTGACGAACCTCCACTCACAGCCTACCCTGACGAACCTCCGTTCACAGCTCCCCTGACGAGACTTCGCTCACAGCTCCCTGACGAACCTCCACTCACAGTCTACCCTGACGAACCTCCGCTCACAGCTCCCCTGACGAGCCTTCGCTTACAGCTCCCCTGACGAACCTCCACTCACACCTTCCCTGGCGTGCCTTCACTCACAGCCTCCCCTGACGAACCTCCACTCACAGCTCCCCTGACAAACCACTCACAGCTCCTCTTACGAACCCCCACTCACAGTTCCCCTGACGAACCTCCACTCACAGTTCCCCTGACGAACCTCCACTCACAGCCTCCCCTGACGAACCCCCACTCACAGTTCCCCTGACGAACCCCCACTTCTGCCTCGAACTCCCGGGCCGTGACTGGATGGTATGCTATTCATCTGGTCGCGTTCGAAGAACGGGCGATCACCACGGTGTGAGGTCAACAACAGTCCGTGACGTGTCATGACAATGACAGGATCATTGCCGCATCTCGAAGAGGTCAAAGCCCTAAGGTTTCAGTTAAACGTTGGACGAGAAAGGCTGCCTGAAAACTCAGCTTTCAGGGTCTGAGCATGTAATGAAGAAGTTATAGCCTTGAAAGACAGATACGCTTCAGAGAAGCAACAAAATCAGCATGCAGCCATCGAGAGGGTGGTGGATAAAGTATTCGTTAAACACTCCAAGTTAACCTAATACTAATATGTTATTTGACACCCCAGTATAATACGGCCTACGGAAAAGCAGTACAGTTCGTCATAAACAATTCAATCCGTACGCCATTAAGTATGTCAGCGCTCCCAATCTTATTTATTTTGTAATTCTGAATCGATAAGTTATGATTACCCCCGAATTTTCCACCAAAATTCATTTTACATGAGCCACGTGCATTGTTACCTGCGATTGTGAACAGGATCACACAAGCGGCTGACAAGTGCAGAGAAGTGCTCTACGCAGCGATCCTATTCAGGCAAAACAAGTCCAGTCACGTAAATGAACCCAACATCTCGCTTGTGCCCGAAAACGCCTTTTGAGTGGAATCGCTGCCCCGTTTTTGGCTATTATAACAGATATTTTCGGCTCGTGGGATGTAATGCATGACATGACATGTGGCAGCCCCACCTTTCAGTCCTGCCGGTTGGCGCAGTTGGAAACTTCTGATGCATGCGAACACCCTTACTTCGCTGAGCAGTGTGATCAGTCTCGTGATGGTTTGTTTGGATTTTTCAGCTGTTATCCCTACCGCTCTGTATCCACCATCTTTTGCTGCTGCGGTAGTGACATATTGAAAGGTTTCACCCCGACTTATGTAAATGCGATAGCCGAAGATGTTGATGGTGTTGCGAGTGGCCACAGCAGCACGGGCATCACAGCACTATCACATTACGTCACCTGATTGGAAGAGCATGCGGTGATGGTCCGACAGCAAACCAAAGATAGCAAAAATATGACAGTTTGTATGATTTACCGCGGAATAAATATCGTGTGCAGGATCCAAAGCATCCTGAATATATGATATTTGCTCTAACCGGAAGGGGCATTAGCCCCATAGGAGATTCCAAGGGCCGAAATCACATTTAGATTAAGGTGCATTGCAAATCTCCGTGCCGTTCGTTACTCTTCCGGTGGTCTCTCCCAGGGTGAGGTCTGGTGCTGATGGGCATGTCGTCGCTTACAGGTACATCCGGGACAACGGTGGCATTGAGTCGGAATCGGCTTACCCGTACACCGCTCGCGATGGCTCCTGCCGCGCCTCCGGCTCCAACGTCGCTTCGCTCTCCTCCTGGGTGGACATCCCGTCCGGCAGCGAGAGCTCCCTGCTTGATGCTGCCGGCGGCGTCGGCCCCGTCTCGGTGGCGATTGATGCGTCCCACCAGTCGTTCCAACTCTACTCCGGCGGCATCTACAACGAACCGCGCTGCTCTAGCCGCCAGCTGGACCACGGCGTGCTGGTGGTTGGCTACGGCAGCGGCTTCTGGCTGGTCAAGAACTCCTGGGGCTCCAGATGGGGCCAGGGCGGTTACATCATGATGACCCGCAACGGCAGCAACCAGTGCGGTATTGCCACCCAGGCCTCCTATCCACGTGTTTAGACTGCGTGCCTGATAAAAACAGCATCCAGACGAAGGCAAGAACAATGCTTGAAGACACGTTGTGGAACTCAAATGTTTTCCTTCCGTCTGGAATATCAAAACTTTCCTTGCTATGCATGATTTCTAAAGCCATCACCAATATATTATTGAGAAACGTGTGTTTGGGCTTGTTTGCAGCTGAACGAGAAGACGCTTTTTCAAAGCCTCATCGAATGCGACTTGTCCGTTACGAAATCCCTTTCAACACCTGGTCATGCGACTACGTGCAGTTTACTGCCAGCCTATACTAGTAAATATTGCCAGCGTACAAATGCTATTCATCTCGGTTACTAGTTCAACTAGTGTACCTTTTGCCTAAAATATACACCCAGTGTTGCCATGCTTACGACACAGTTGACCGGCAGATGTTCAGAGATGAGATTCAGTCCCGGTGCACATTTGCGTTAGTTTTACTTGTGTTCGTATTGTGTCTTAAAAAGACGACAGATGTGTCATTGCTCAACAAAGAGAAGTTGCAACGAATACGAACATTCATCGAGAAAACCAACGACATTTCTACGTAGCAAGTTAACGTTAGCGTTTTTTTGTTGTTGTTTACTTTGAACCTATTCACCATAGTTTCATAAGTATGAGTAATATATATATATATATATATATATATATATATATATCCGCTCACGAGGGCGTCCAACACCCTAAACGGCGTGTTCCACGGCCCAACGGTTCCTTGTAACTTAGGCATGAAGAGCACTGGTTGTAGAGCATGCGTATACAATCAGGTTTTCGAGCAAGCTATGTGCATGTATAACTGAACCTCATGTATGTCACAAATACGGCGCGTCTTCTCACTTATACGCCGTTCAGCTGCATTACCGCTCGGATCTGGCTTAATGATACCAGATTTATTTTCATGTGTCATGCAGCGGTGACAATGAACAACATCATGCGGATCGTTCTCTACGAAAATACGGCATGCAACTTTTTAACTCATATAGGGGTCTCTCTAGTCTTGGCAGGGGCGAAATCAGTCTTTCATGAGCGGCCGTTAATGATGTTCGGTTCTTTAGAGTCATCGCTCATGGGTACGAAACAGTGCTTAAAGGGCAGTGTGCCACATTTCCATGGGTGTTTGCAATGAAATATCCACCTTGAATATTATTCGGAGTCGTTTACACGCCCTGCCCTTCTTAAGGCCTAACGTTTCTGAACAACACGCCCGCGAAGACGCGCGCTTTTTTCGTGGAGACTATTTCAAGGTCCGTGGCGCCAAAATACCGTATTTATGTGGCGCCAAAATATCGTCCCCTCAATTAGTCACGCGGCGATCAAGTAAATGTAGTTGTCTAGTCGTTCATATCTGGTGTTCGTAAGCACGATTTCCGGATCTGACGGTCGTCAGTTGGCTCTCAATCAGTGTTATGCGATGTACGATGACGTAATCAAACCACGACGTATTTAGAAGCATAATTACTTAGCAGATAAATTCTGTTGTCTATAGCAGTCGTTTCCACTTCAAACTATACCAATGGTTATAAGTGAGCTTACTTCATCATATCTCACATTTACATCAGCATCTTTAACACGTGTCCGGATGGACAGTTGGATACCGTTGGCTCGGGTGGGGTTAGGGGTCAATTTACCCCCCTCCCTTTCTGAGGTCTCAGGAATTAAGAGAACTAGAGACACCAAATTTACAGAGTGTGTTGGCCTGTACCTGAACTGACGCAGGTTGAAGTTTATTTTACCTAGGTCATGACCTTCGGGTCAAATAAGGTCAACCCAGGTCAATTTCGAGGTTGGTCTCCAAAGTGCCCCCAACGCATATGCATCACAATTTTCCGAATAAGCATGCCAGCTGGGCCACATTTTTTGCAAATTGACGGCTGAAAACGGAATGGGTAAGCGCCAGCAGTAGCAGCGCCTCAATGTTTTCTTCCACATACAGCAGCTGCCGCCCATCAATGAGAATGACGTCTTTGTCGCCTTCTGCCTGCTGGAAGCTGCTCGGCCCACTGAGTTCTCGGACCCCTTCCAGCCGGACTTCTCATCCTGATCCAGCCCTTCGTCTGAAATGGTATTTTAACATAAATGGTTGGAGTAAGTATCAAAACTCGTGTGGGGATCTGTTCCTGCTTCGGCATCAAGATTAAACTTACAACAAGGTTACCTTTCACCCGATGAGCGGTGGCCACCGCTAAGCACTTTGTTTTCGAGGACCACAGCTGTATGACGCGCAAAAGAACTGTCATATATTGCCCACCTGACCATGCGTATATTGCGCAGGTTTTGGAAGTTAGTATCAGGTTTTCCAAGTTCACCGAACTATGTGTTATTACTGAAGCAGGGAGCTAGAACTGCTTTTGAACAAGGGTAGGAGGGAAAAATTCCATCGCAAAAAGACCGTGCAGGAGTGAAAGAACCTATTCACAAAATACGGAACTTATGAGCTCGTGACTGATGCTTCAGCAAACGAAGACATGTATTTTAAGTTGGCATGGACGTAATATCATAAACCTGACAAAAAAGTTGTTTTTTAACATCTCAAGCTGTTAAAGTGAAACAGAATATGTTAAAACATAGTAATTTCATGACAGTGTAATGAGCATAAACAATTATTAACACCAATAATTTGATGCTGTACTTTGCACTTCCCTTCCACAGCACTTTAACACAAAACAAGACAAGGAATTAAAAAACAATAGCATTTTACATGTGGTGAAAGGACACCGCAAACATGCTGACATTGCACGAGGCTGGAGCCATGACAATTGCATGTAGTTATGGTTGGATAGGCAAAATGCAAGGAAGTAATGAAGCTGCCAGTGCACACAAGGCTCATGATAAACATATTAAGTGTTGTCCAAGACACCAAGCACCTGGCATTCCATGCAAGCTGCAGTGACCGTGACACTGATTACTCAGGAGTAATGATCGCCTGCATGCAAGATTTGTGAAGACAGTACAATGTGCATCGGTGATAATGACGCTCTATATGCTCAGAATTTTTTAATGAAAGACAATTTGCAAAGCCATATAATTTGGGCTTATACTGAGCATGTGATTAAATGACCTGCTCACACCAGCCGCTGCTGTCGAAATGAATTGCTGATATAATGACATGCAATGGATTAATTACATGCTGTAATACTTCAATAGATTCACAATGTTTGCAAGATCATTATGAAGTGCCAGTACCAGCACTTGCCTTTGCGCACCCCTGCAACATAAGTGCTAGTGTTTCTCTCAGTTTGTCAGCATTCCTTTGTCACGTTCAAACACGAACATAGAGGTAGAGGCAGGCATCAATATCAATAGGCATCAATATATCAGGCATCAATTTATCACATTTTATTGGAAGTCAGTAGACTGAAGAATACCAAAACAATGTTCTCTCTCAGAAGAACTAACCTCGCACGCACACTCCCCATCACATCAGTACCAATACAAACCACTGGCACACACCACCAGTGATCATACGCATTTCGAGCCCCCGATTCACACTCTTTTGTCAAATAAGTGTGATCTCACATTTGCACAGCTCGTGGGACTATCAAATTGGAGGTTTTCTCACAACTTCCGCACAGATTTCCAGTCACAACACCGAACTTCACCGTGGCCTCCCTTCGAAACAAAGTTCCAATGGGGGTTCATGGTAATGCGACTCAAGAGGTTCATCTTGTAAAACACAATGTTTTGTTCAAGATCTAAAGTTGTCGCACCATATGTGCGACATACATAGAAAAAATGTATCTAAAATTACTGTAATGTTTCCCTAATTTCATAACGCCTTGCTAACCCCATAAGCCCGTGCAAGGTCTGTGCCACGGTACACAAGGCGCCAACCGAGCTGTGGGTAAGAGATATGCTAGCAGAAGAAAAAACGCCAGCAGCAGAAAAAAGATAGATTTTCCGTCGCGTCTTCTTTTTTATAACTTCGCGAGAGTGCCCATTTTTTGGGTGCCGCACTTTTTTGCAGACAGTGGCGTTCTTTTTTATAACATTGACCTGTGACCTAAAAATCAGGAAAAGTGACTCATTCACGAGTGTCGCACAACCCGAAATTACTCACGTTTGTGTTCGCGACACGCATTCAGCAGTACAATCTTACTGACAGCCAATCATCTTCCGTGAACTGTACCACATGTGCAGCATTATCGTCTTTGCGAATGGAGCAGTGGCCATGCTGTTTTGACCAGACACAAAAAACAGCCTGTAATATCACGGGATCTAATGACGTTTCTATGGCGTCGTTAATCAGACGGTGATCTTGAAGTTGGCTGTAAATAAGCCTTTCCGTACTTTGCGAGCGTGTAACCCAGGAACCAGAGCGTTTTGGGTCTTAAAAAGGGCATATCCGTGAACTGCATCAAAATGTCCTCAAGATGGCTGTTTCAGTTCAAAACGCCCTACAAATGTGGAACATTCCCTTTAATGACTTACCTGTGGATGTCTCACGACTGAATTCAACTAGTTGTAAGCGTGCTGCCAGGTCCTTTTTGTGCGTTTTGGTAGCCTCATTCTGCTTATGCATGCATGCGGTTATGCGCTTTTATCCCTCATCACCTTATGTTTTCTTTTTTTGACATACTGTTTTATCTCTCAGAGTAATGACACGGAATGGCCACGCATGTATGCGGAGTGTCAGCTGATATCAAATACAAATAGAAATACAAGGCACCCAAGGTGGGCAAAGTCAGGTTACTCCAGTCCCCCCTGGAATCTCTATTAAAAAATAATGATAAGGCAAAGAAACAGAAGACACATACGCCAAAAGCACGATACACATAATACACGGGTACGTATAGATTAGATCAGAAAAGGATTTGTCACACTAAATTCAGTTTTTTGGTCATTAACAGAATGAAAATATGCCGTAAATTGGGTTAGCCGATTTATCTTGGAGTGAAAGATATTTTGCTATTGCTCTGAAAGATAAAGATATTATGTTTGGTACAGCTCAAAACTCAAAGCAGACTGTAAAAAAGAGAAGACTCGTACGGATTCAAAGTCAAGCAGCATGACTGATTACGCGACTCAGGTGAGTCATCAACGATGATGATTTAATGGGATAGGGACCCAATGTCATCTGCCTCATGCCCAAC